ACAAACCATACCCTGGAGCGCACCTCTCCTAGGGGCATAGCAGCTCTTTCTGCTTTTCTGTGGTGTCCCAGCTTTTGGGTGTTGAAATGCCACAGGGTGGCCAGGACAGGGAGGGTGACGGCACCCAGCAGCTTATCATCTCCCCCCTAGTATTGTGCTTTCACATTACAAAAGTGATACACGCTGACATGCAAAGGGAAGGAATCTTCATCAAACCACTGCCCTTTGCTAAGGCTTGTGTCATCTTCCTTGTCCTTTCTCAGGTGGCTCGTGACTTACTCCCCAGTGATATCGGTCCATGTAACTTGCTTATAGCTCAGTATGTTTATGTCCTGAAATGTGTGCCAAATGGTTCAACAGAATTTGTAAATTATAGCAACTTAAATACAATATCAAAACAATGTCATCACAAGGACAAAGACCACCAATTTTTTTTTTCTTAGCATAAGGCTTTTTTGGAAGTTTTGTTAGCTATTAGTTTTAATGAACACTATAGCCATCAGCTCTGAGAGAATTTTGGAAATGTCCCTCAATGAGGTAATTTATAGAGGACTGGTAGATCTAAAACAAAAAATAAAAAACTTGCTCTTTCTCCCCATTATAAAGATCTGTCTTTGCTCAACAATTTTTTACAAAAAGATGTACAGCCGGGTGTGGTGGCGCATGCCTGTAATCCCAGTGCTCGGGAGGCTGAGGTAGGAGGATCGTTGCGAGTTCAAGACCAGCCTGGGTTACAAAGTGAGCTCAAGGCTAGCCTGAACTGCATAGTGAGACCCTGTCTCAAAAAAGATGAAAAAACAAAACAAAACAAAAACCAAAAAGATGTACTAAGTGGTATAGCACTGGTCAAGAACCTTGTAGTACTTTGCAGTTAAGATGCTAGAGAGAATATGTAAGGATGATGTCATCCAAAAGAGACAAGAGTGCATAGGAAGCTTCACAGGAATGGGAAAAATTATTTTAAGGAGGAAGGAAGGGCTAGGGATATAGCTCAGCAGCACAAGTGCCTGCCTGGCAAACACAAGGTCCTGAGTTTGATTCCCAGTACCAAAAAAAAGAGAAGGAAGGAAAACTCAGCAATAAGAAAAACACTACAGTGCACGTTAAAAACAGTAGCGAAAGTCTCAGCTGTCCATGTGCTGAGGAAAATAGGTACTGCAGGCTTCCGGGCAAAAGCCTAGGGGAGGGCGACGGGCTAGCAGAGCTGCCACACTCGCTAACGTACTCATTATTATGATTACCTTGTGTAGACAGGCCAACTTAGGCAAAAAGCACTCAGAATACAATGCAACAGTTCCATGCTAGAAGAGATGTGACCTGTAAGTGAAGATGGCCAGTAGAAGCACTTTGAAAGCTAAATCTGAAGAGAGGAAAAGCTGGGCCCTCCAATGTCGCTCCATGGGATCGGCCAAAGTCAGCCTCGCTGAGGTGTTTATCACGCCAGGAGGGCCTTGTCTGTGCTGGGACCTATGTGGGAACCAGGTGGAACAGAGCTCTCTCTCTCCTTCCAGGACCTGCCAAGAGGGGATTCTCCTTCTGCTATGAAGCCCACAGCACTCTGTACTTATCTGCTTTTATCAGAATCTGTCACAGGCCTGAGAGAAGAATGAGACCTTGTTCGTCTCCACGAGGCTAACGGCCTCTGACTCGGTGGGTGAACAGAGGGACAGACACCACAGAGGCACAGAGAGCCTCTCTGCTGGGCAGGGCTCACCGGGGTGTCCCTTCTGGAGCGAGGAGACGGCTATGCGTCTTGTGGGCACACGACAAGTGACTAAGCAAGGCAGTGATTCATTCAGCCTGAACCGTCCCACCCGCGGGAGCCAGCACCTCCAGGGTCCCCACTCCCCGTCATCTCAGCAGGAAATTGCTGCCCTGTCCCTCACACGGTGAGGCATGGTGGAAGCATTTCAGCAGCCTGGGGCAGGGCCCAGAATGGGGTCAGGGCAAAGTAAATACCAACCCTTATTAGGACATCCCGGCCTCTGGGGTGCGTATGCCCGCTCCCCAAGCAGCTTCCGGCTTTGTCATCGAAAGCAGCCGGCTAGGCCACGGCTGCCTGCAAGTGAAGGCTTCCTGACCTCCAGGAACCTTTTCGGTCAGCCCCTTCTTCCTTCCTCTGTCTGCGGCCCATTGTTCCAGGAAGGTTTCACCCTAGCGCCCTGATGCGTCCCTGCGCGCGGCCACGGGGGAGGGAGGAACTCTGCGTGCTGGGAAGCGAGACAGTGACGCAGGAGGCCCAAGCCAGAAACCCTGTGCTGTGGCTGTGCCTCCAGGGCCACTTCATGTGCGCTTTCTAGCCAGTCAATCCTGGGTCAGAGAGCGAGGGTGGAACCGGCAGCCGGCTGGGGTTCAGACACGAGCCGCGGTTGGCGGAATTTTGCTTTTACTGGCAGTGGAAGAGATGGTAGTAACGGGTGTGAGGAGATTGGTCTGATATATTTGTTTAGTAAGATTTTAAATTACACTGCAATTTTTATTTAATGGCTATAAGAAGCTCGAACCACTTCTTTGTGGTTTCACAGTTACCCACCTGGATCAGCCGTGAGCTGCCGGCAGCAGGGAGGGGTTTATGCTGTGGCTCTCCAGGCACTGAGCCCAGCGCTGTCTGCACACTGGCGGAATGAGTGAATCTGCAGGGTGAACTATCTGCCCAGAGCTCTACAGGCCAGACCATGATCCAGGCCAAGCAAGCGCTTCTGATACTCACTTGTTTTGAAATGGAGTCTTGCTATGCTGCCCAGGTGGGCCTTGAACTCCTGGGTTCAAGGGATGCTCCTGCCTCAGGCTCCCAGTGTGTGTATTACTTTACTGGGCCCATTTTTCTTAATTAAGGTCTACTCCAGTTACACACAATAAAATGTTCTATGAGTTTAGATAAAGTTTTATAGCCATCAAACTCCTATCACAATCAAAATGTAATGGAGGATCCTCATCACCCCTAAAAGTTTGCTCACACCCCCTGTCATCAATCCCCTCTCTGCCCGGATGCCCAAGTCCTGGCACCAACAATCTGAACTGCACCCCTGAATGTGTTATTCAGGGTCTGTTTCACTGGAAGCCTTCTCCTATAGCTATGCTGTGTGCTTCTAGTGCTCCTCCCACTGGGAACCCCAGGCGCAGGCTTGTGTGTGTCTCCCCGGACTCCGTGAGCTGCCGTGTCTTCGTGCTTCCTTCTGACTCCATGGGAGGCCATTGCTCATTTGGAGGCACAACTGCCATGTTTCTTGGGACAACTTCCTTTATCCTCTTCTCACCACTTACTTTGCCTAATAATGCCTTTCTCTATGTTCTTAAGACACACAGGCTGGGCTGGGGTGTGTTCCACGTGGGAGTGCTTGCCTAGTGCCTGTGACAGCTTGGGTTTCATCTCCAGGGCACCCCTGCACTACAAACAAACAACCACAAGGTCGCCTTCCTGTTCCTTTCGGCTGGACACTGTGTCTGTATTTCTACTGGAGGCAAAGAATATTTTCCCTGTCGTGTGAACCCTGCAAACTCTGTCCAACCAGTTCATTCTTATCCCTGCCAACATGCCTTCCTCCTGTGCTCTTCATATGGCCGATACTGCACCCAGAGCCACCAAGCTAGAATGGTCCCCCTTTCCTTTAAAGGAAGCCACCTTTAAAAACAATCTCAGATCACCCGCACTCTCCATGTACAGACCTTCATCACCTCTGGGCGCAGCCACCTGCCTGGTCTGGCTCTTTTGCCTTTAAAGAGTCTCCACTCTGCTGTCAGACCCAACTTCCTAAAATACACATCAGACCGCATTCTTCTTGTTAAGAAACCTTACCCTAAGGGGGCTTCCTCGTGTGCACAGGATGATGGCGCATGGGACCCTTAACAACTGGGTCCCCCCGCTACCCCCATCCCATCACTCAGCCTCCTCCCCGGAGCAGCAGGGCAAGGCTACCGTGCGCTTTGAGCCTTTGAGCTGAATCACTGCTTCTCTAGCTCTGAGGTCTGGCATGTTAGGAACACCTGAGTCTCCTCTCCATGCCCAATCTCAGGGCAGAACTGGCCCCGGCTTCCTGGCTGAAGGTCTAGAAGGCAGCAGAGCCGCTCGATGCCTCTGTGCCGGCCAAAGCCCTGCTGCTCGCACCTGCTCCTCTCAGAACCTGCCCTTATGTTCGGGAAGAGCCCAGAACATGCGTGGTGAAACCTTTCTGCATAATATTTGATGCAACGTAAAACACCGAAGGCAGAATTTCTGTCTAGCCATTGCTTGTTTCCCTCAAAGAGCCACACGGTTCGTCACAAAAACAGGCAGTATGTTTTCTGCTTGGGCTCACATCGGTTTGGAGCAACAATAATGATAATGATGACAAGTTAGGATTTTTTGGCTCTAAACCTAGTCCAGAAGCGCTCCCATGACAAAGAAGCCAAAAGGTCTGCCTGTTTCCTAGACGGTCCCTTTATTTTGCTCTTTAAATTATACTTTCCATAAGCTGAAATAACAACCATCACCCAAAAGCAATGCAGTCCCACTGTGACTATGTCAATCCTGAGAAGTCATGTGGTTCATTAGCTTTTTTGGCCAGAGCCTCCCACCTGACATGCTGAGGAAGGAGGTAAACAGGAGTAGCTGTGGATCCCCCCGCTTCTGGGGTGGCTGGCATGAGCAGCCACCTCCACTGCTCTCACCACAGCACAGTGTTACGATTTTGAGGGCCGAGGGGTGAAAAAGGTCGAGAAGCTCTAAACCAAGCTGAACAACACACCCAATCCTTCCAAGCTGTTCTCTCCTCCACCCTAGGAGCGGAGTCAGTTTCATGACTCTATGAATCCGGAACACATCTTCTGGAAAAAAGACAAGCCTGGAACTGCAGTGGTAGACATGGCTTTTTGTTTTGCTTTTGGTGGATAAGCAATTAGAAAAATAGCAAATATCATTCACTGCTCCCTTGTGTGTGACTTGCAAAGGACTCGCAGAACCTAAGGATTCCAGGCAACACAACATCAGAGAACGAGGGCTTCGGAGCCTCTTACTCACTCACCGTTCCAACCAAAGGGTAAATGAACCCAGCACCTATGCTGGCCCGGACGTTGCTGATGGGCAGAATGAAATCCCTCGGCACACCTTTCCTTTCGGGCTGGTGAGACAGAGAGAGGTGGGTCTTGGCCATGCAGATGGGCAGATTTCCAAAGCCCTGTAAGGAGGGAAAGGAAACGTGATCAAAGACGTACGTGCTGGTGTCCTGCACCTGCTTCCTTCGCAGCTCATAAAATCTCTGCAGCAATCACCTGTGAGCGAGGAGATGCTGCTTCCCCTGGTTCAAGAAACTTGGGGTAAGAACTCATCTGCATGTGGCTATTACCGAGCAGGTTGTGGGGTCTACTGTTTATTTGGGAGGTTCTCTTATTCAAGAAGAGGCGGTTTTACGCTCTGTGTGGGGGAAAGCAGGGCTATTCTTAGGCACAGAAGGGGCAGCGGCTGTAGAAACCACTTTCCAGAGCTATTAATATCCGGGACTAGAAAGGTAATCTGGAGAAAGGCTCTGTAATGAAGCTCTTAGTCGGGACGGTCACTCATTCTTGGAGTCCCGCAGGAAGCAAAGGGCCCTTTGTGCTGGTTTATGAATCATGGCTATTTGATCTGTGATTACATTATAGTAACTAAGATGAGGTCACTTTTTCAGCCTCTTATTTTTAAGGACCAAAGTTGATGCTTGACCCAAGAGTTCTGAAGGTGAAAGGGCAGGAAGTCACATGCAGCGCCTCACAAAAAGAACAGTGTCTCCGAAGGCTGCTTGTGATTAAATGGCACACAGTGTTCCTTTGGAGACTTTGCTAATTAACTGCGATCACATACTCGACACATAAGTTGTAGGAAATATTCCCTTGGTAGACAGACATAAAAGGAATGCAATCTTCAGAGGTAACCCATGTGGGGGTTCTTATGATTCAACCCAGAACTATCTGGAACATTTCAGAGTATTATCAATTGCAGTATCAAGTTCTTTGTGAAAGCCCTACTCTTATGTACTGATAAGAGTTGTGCTCAGGAAAAATCACAAACGTTCTTCAGAAATGATGCCTGTAATTTTTTTTTTTTTTTTTGGTTTTTCTCCGGTACCGGGAACCAAACTCACGACCTTGCGCTTGCCAGGCAGGTGCTTTGCCACTGAGCTAAATCCCCAGCCCCCATGCCTGTAATTTTGTAATGGAAGTTTTTTTTTTTTAGGTACTGGGAATCAAACTCAGGACCTTGTGCTCACCAGGCAGGCACTTGTGCTGCTGAGCTATATCCCCAGCCCTGATGCCTGTAATTTTGGAGATTGGTCAAATATTGAAATAATTTCTATGAACTGATAAAGATTTGCCATTTAAAAGTTTGCCGGTAGGAATATTTTAAGTGCCATATACCATTATCACGTTATCTCATAAAGAGTATTTTTGTCTGTTTGTTTGTTTTTCTCTGGTACCTGGAATCAAACTCATGACCTTGCGCTTGCCAGGCAGGCGCTGTGCTGCTGAGCTAAATCCACAGCCCCAAAGAGTATTTTAAGACTAAAAAACCTACAAAGATTTAATACTGGAATTCATGATAGTCCTATATAACATTATCGAAAACTCACGAAGGGGGAAGACACCCCAAACTTCATGATAATCACCCTATCTTACTAAGTACATCTCACGCACTTGAGTCTCAGCACAGAACAATGCCAGTACACACAGCAATGTCTAGGAGCAGAGTTCTTAGAGGAGAAGCCAGGAATGTGGATGGAAACTTCCAAGAAAAAAATGAGCAGCCAACAGTCCGACCAAACCTGGGAAAACTCCTGAGTCGGCACTGATAGTATTTAACAAAATTTCAAATAAGATTTACAAGTAGGATTAAGGAGGCTGTAGAAGTACTCTGACCTCCATCTCTCCACGCCCAACCGCGAGGGCCCCTTGAGCCTTCTGTACACCCTGCAAGAAGTAGAAGGGTGACGGCAGGACAGGGCTAGATGGCGGCTCATGCCGCCGGGTCACGGCCACCTTCACGGCGGCTTGTCACTTGCTTTGTCACACCTAGAAGTGAAGACGATGGAGCCTCGACCTCCAGGAAGCTAATGAACCACTGTGTGAAAGAGACAGCGAACACCCCGATTTATATGCGGCATCCCTGTTTGCCTAACCTGTGCACTAACAATTCTACAGCAGCGAAAGGCCCACAAAGACGAGGAAGAGCTGCGAATCATTTATATCTGAGATGGGACTGGAAGTGCGTGCCTGTAATCCTCACATCCTGGGAGGCTGAGGCATGAGGATTGGAAATTTGAGCCCAGCCTGGACAATTTAACTAGACCCTGTCTCAAAATAAAAAAAAAAATGTAAAAAAAGCTAGGGATATAGCTCAGTGGGAAGGCCCTGGGCTCAGTCCTCAGTAACACAGAAAAATAAAAACAAATCATCTACGTCATATTCCACAGCTGCACATCAAAGGACCATTTCAAAGCTACTGGCAGAGTGGGCAGGACTACGGACCACACACCACATAATGGTCACCCTCCTATTGGACACACTGGTCATCTCAAAAGTCAGTAATGCCTACATCGGAGGATACACCCAAACACAGTGCGCCTGCTACTCGAGCTGTTACTTCACTCTTTGTTGATCCAGAGGAGGATTAAGCCACGTTCAACTAGTAAGACATATGCCACCAGTCCTTGCCCGATGAGTTTTCTGAGCACCGAGGTGAGCTGTTTTCCTAAAAGGACTACTTTTACCTGTTCAGTATAACGCTCTATTTTGGATTGTGCCTCAGCAGAGAGTTCAATATCCTTGGCTCCATACACAGCCTGGGCAATGGTTCTTATCTTTTCCACAATTGGAAGCTGGAGAAACACAAAAGACAACAAACCTGTTAACTTGAATTTGCTTAAAGAACTAAGGCAACACTTAGAGGGAGTTTAGATGTTGGCTTTAAATTCTCTCCCAAGTCCCTCCCCAGCAAGGACAGCTCAAAAACCTCATGTAGGCAAGGGGGGGTGGGGTCAGCTCTGAGGGCCTTGTGTTCCCTAAGCAGGGAAGAGCCAGGCTCTGGGGTGACCTCCTCCCCTGCCATGTGGCCATTCCAGTCCCCATGGGCTCTGTAGCAAGGTGCGGGGGGTCACTGTCGGGCAGGAGAACCCAGGTCCCCCCTGTATCCGGCTAAACCGGAATGAACTGATCGAGTTTCCTCTTCCCTAGGTCGGGGGTGTGAGCACAGAACAGCATCCTCCTGCACACAGCGAAGCTCATGCAAAAGCACAGATAACATGGTGCTGCTCCTGCTGTCAGAAAGACTGTTAAGTAGGGTGGACGGGGAGAACTGGGTCTTCCCTGGAAGGACAACCAAACCACAAAGTAGATATCACTGTTCCTAACACAGTTAATGAAGGCAATGCACTCTTCACCGAATATTAAGATAATAATGAATGAAAAATTCATGTGGGAACAAACAGCAAATAGATCACCAGTGAAGAACTTACTAGGCGTGAGAAGCTAACTTATTTACTCTTCATTTTAAACATGCAAAGTTTTTTTCACAATCACCTTTTTCTCAATCTTCATTTTTTGTCAGTGCGTGTCTGCAGTATAGAATGACCACAATCCTCACGGGGAGCTGGGACACGGACATGACACTTCTTAATTCCTTTTTCACCCTCTCCCCATCTCTTGCTGCTCTTCCCATGTGCAAAAGATCTGTCTCCCTATTTTGTATGGTTGATCTTTCATTTTGCTCTTTATTTACATTTTGGGTTTCTCATATAAAAGAAGTCATGTGATACTTAAATTTGTGTGTCTGATTTATTTCACTTAGCATTATGGTTTGAGTGCATCTGCTTTCCTACAAATGACTTGAGTTTATCCTTCTCTACGACAGAGTAATACTCTATTGTATGTAAATACATTTTCTTTATCCACTCATCTCCTGGCAGTCACATAGGCTCCTTCCAATTAGCTCTGATGAGTTGTGCTGCTGTAAACATGGGTACGCGTGTATCACTGTAACATGGTGTCTTTACGACTTTTGGGAAGATACCTACAAGAGGAATAGCTGATGTCAAATGGAATTTCGACGTTTAGTTTTCTGAGGAATCTCAATACTGATTTTCATAACGGATGTACTAGTTAAACATGAAAAAAATAAACGTACACACACACACACACACACACATATATATATATATATATATTCCTCCCCGCCCCCCAGACAGGATCTCACTATGTAGTTTTGACTGGCCTTGAACTCACTAAGTAGTCCACGTTGGCTTTGAACTTATGGTGATCCTCCTGCCTCAGCCTCTCAAGGGCTGGGACTACAGGCGTGTGATCACACACAGCTCTAAACATGAAAATATTTTAAGAAATGTATTTTTATTTAAAAATTTAATTGTTAAAAATTATTTGCAGCCAAATACATGTAACATATACAAATATGACCAAAACATATGGTGAAAGCTTAAATTAAAAGTTCTGTTACAGAGAAGACACAATACCATGAATCCCCTTCAAAACACTCTCCCTTGCTTTGGATACACTTGTTCCTCACTGAAGCAGCTCTGGAAGTCCTCTCCTCCCTCCTTACAGTCCGAAATCAAAAACAGGGTGAGTGTGCTGCTGACTGCCATCCAGCAGAAAGGCAGGCTTGTGACACACGATGGTGTGTCCTCATCCACCTTTTTCACTGGATCTGGCACTGTGCAACTTCTACTCTTCCCCAAAGTCAAAATGACCACAAAAGGTAAGCATTTTTAACTGATTCAGGACAATGAGACATCCATGACAGTGCAGCTAATGACACTCAGGAAAGAAAGAGCACTTCCAGAGCTGCTTCAGAAAGTACAAAGGACGATGGGAGCAGTATGTCCAAAATGAAGGGGATGATTCTGAAGGGGAGTAACGGCAATGTCTTTTACTATAGTAACTTTTTAAAGTAAACACTCGCCATATTTTCTGACTCCCCACCCCCTATAATTTATCACTTAACCATTTCAGGAATGCTAAGTACATTCTCAGTATCATGCAACCAATCCCCAGGACTCTTCTCATCTAGAGAAACGGAAACTGTACCCACCCATTAAATAGCACCTGCCCCCCAGCCCCTGGCAATCACCGTTCTTCTATCTGCCTCTGTGGATCTGACCATTCTAGGGACCTCATACGAGGGAGTCATACGTGTCCTTTGCGCCTGGCTTCTTTCACTTAGCACACAGTCCTCAAGAGTCATCACGTTAAGGGCTGTTTCTGAACCTCGTTCCCTAGGGCTGAACAGTGCTCTGCTGTGCACACACGTCATGCTTTCCTTATCTCCTTATCACTAACAGACATTTGTGTTGTTCTGCCTTTTGGTTATTGTGAACAATGCTGCTCTCAGCACAGGTAAACAGGGCCGGGGATATAGCTCAGTGGCATAAGCACCTGCCTGGCAAGCGCAAGGTCCTGAGTTCAATTCCCGGTACCAAAAAAACAAAAACAAAAAACTCACAGGTATACAAATAGCTCCTGGAGACCCAGGTTTCAACTCTTTTGGGCATAAGGAAATATGTACCTTTTGTCAATAACTAAACTCCTTCCTAACACATTTATGAGAAAGTGAGCAATTCTGAGCAGGACCCTGAGCCTGGGTCCTGTGGCCATGTGCTGAATAAAGAAAGTGCTTCAACTCGGGGAGGAAGCCCCAGGGCAAGGTTTTCCAGGAATTCCTACCACGATGTTTCTCTTTCACTTATGTGATCAAGCAAATAAATAAAAACACCTCGGCTGACTTATCTTTGGGGTTTAGTGTAAAATCCAGAATCTGGCCTGATAAGGTGCTTCCCTTGTGTGCGATATATTTACTTTGTACCCACAGGGAAGGAACGCCCTGCCGTTTCTCTGCTTGAGTTGGGGACAAGTATAATCTCTAAAAGCACAGAAAAAAGCCAGACTCTGTCCAGTGATCTGAATCTGAACTTTAGACTCACTTAAACTGCTCTGTGACAATGGATAGGTTTTATAAAACAGAGGCAAGAGCAACATAAGTTAGGAGTGTTTGCGTACTCATCCTGGCTGGCCTCCCCGGCTCTGTAAACACTGGCTAATCTATTTACTCACAACTTGCACCGCGATTTGCTGTAACAGAGTGGCTCACACACAGCAGGCCTCCCACAGGCATGAGCCGGGTGAACGAAGAGCCATCTCCGGCACGTATATACACAGCCCACGGTGTCACACAGATGGCTTGGGGGACTCCGTGTACAGAGACCTCTGGATGGGGTGGGAGCCATGAGATATGGTAAACTGCGTGAGAGAACGGGGTGTGCGATCAAGGCTCTGTACAAACATTCTTATTCAAGCTGGGAGAACACAGATCGCAGGGCAGGGGTGCCGAGCAGCACAGGCTGGCATGACATCAAAAGGAACCTGAGTAGCGCCTTGAAGTCATGACAGTTCCACAGGAAGAGACAGGCAGGTGCAAATGGTAGTAAACACAAAACTCGGTGGGAAAACAGTGAATATTCTGTTTGCATAAAGTACAGTTACATAACACGATAATCAGGTGATCTCACAAATCCTTGCATCTACCTTAGGATTGCAATCATTTTGAACTAATGCTGTGTTGAGCTTCACAGTCAGCAAGAATATAATTCTGCACACATTCTATCTACATTCATTCCCTCCCGAATTTCTGAAATAATGTTTCAGAAACTGCAATGCTCCAGAATGTAACTGTCTAATGGAACATTCTGCCAGAATGGATATGTTTGTAGGAGTTTCCCAGTCCAGGAGCCATGTATCTTGTGTGGTCATTAAAGCATTTGAAATGTGACTAGTGCAACAAAGGAAATGCATTTTTTTTTGCCGGGCATGGTGGCACACACCCATAATCCCAGCACTCAGGAGGCTGAGGCAAGGAGGATCCCTGTGAGTTCGAGACCAGCCTGGGCTACAAAGTGAGTTCAAGGCCAGCCTGAACTGCACAGTGAGACCCTGTCTCAAAAGGACAAAAAAAAAAAAAAACAAAAAGGAAAGAAAGAAAGAAATACATTTTTTAAAACCTAGGGCCTTTGCCTTGAGCGACATCATTCTGAAACACTCCCTTACCCCAATCCTCAGCCTTGGCAAGGCCTCACTAAGTCACAAAGCTGGATTCTTTCATTTTAGTTTACTGAAACAGCTACCTGTGGTCCAGGCATTGCAGCCATAGAAAATAACCACGAGCGGCTGTTCTGCTGTTGTACGGCCACTTGCACGCAGTAGGTGCGCCATTGCCATGAGCAGAGCGGCACCACACAGGACAGCTGGGGGAGGCGGCGAGCCTGATGTTTTGCTTTACTCATGGTGCATGTGGTGGTCCAGGCTTGGGGAAGCTGAGTTACTCAGAGTTAGATGGTTTACTGCTCCTAAAAGGGTTCTGGAAATGCCCTTTCAGGTCATCAAATCAAATTACCAAAAGACTTAGTTTTTAATGGAATACAATGGATCCCTAAAGTCCAGACAAAGTTACTTAAAATTCTTAAACTACCTTTTGGTGCCAAAAGAATGGACCAAATAAAGTGAAATAGAATCAAAGTTTTAAAACAAAGCTGCCAGAAATAACATAAAGATGCATGAAGTCTTCATAATGTCCTGATGTTGCAGCTCACTCAGGTCAGATGCTGAGGTTGGCAGCACCAACCATCTGTTCAAAGAGCCACACGATCCTCCGCTATCCACACCGACCTCCTCTTCCTCAGCCCACACTACTGCTTCTTTGGCTGGCCCCGAATGAGAGCAAGGGCGGGCTCGAGGGCCACACGGAGTCAAAAATACACTGTTCTTTTGTTTCTCCAAGGCCACAGAGTTGAATTCACACAGCCGGAACGTTCCT